TCAATCAGTCAATGTGCCAGTTGATCAGTCACTAAGTCTATTAGTCTATCATTCAAACAATCAGCCAGTCATATCAATCATAAGTCTGTAACTGTGTCAGTCTGTCACTGTTCMATTCAGTCAGTCARAGGCTGAGCCAGTMAGTTATTTAGTCTGTCCATCTGTGAGTCAGTTTGTCAGTTTACTTTAACCTTACTCTTTCAGTTGTTTGTGGTCTTCAGTCAGCTTTTGTCCATGAAATGTTAACCAATATGTCCTCCACACATAGTTCCTGGAAATAWAAGAAAAAATGGATGAATGGATGGATGGGAAATTGAATGAATGGAAAAATGAATTACATAAAGTGAAACTAGCATACCAGCTGATTTGTGTACTGGTGTCTTTGTCGCGTTCCTGTTTCAATGTGATATGTCTCTTGATTGCTTTCTTCAGGTCATCAACGGTTGCATTCTGGACAATAACAACAGCTGCCAAAAAAGAACAGTAATAAGGAWGGTGGTTTGCCTGTAATGCATGGGATTGCTCTTGTCTTGGTATAAAACATACAGAGTAGACTATTCTTAAAAACCCTCCAGTAGCAAAAGGTCCAAAAGTTAAGCTTATATATCAGCAAACGTTCTTCAGCTAAAATTTCAGTTGTTTCATTAACGTGGAAAATCATTAGCAAAATACTGGATGTACAAATTGCTTTACTAGTTACAATACGTTTTAACCTGTTCAAGAACAGCTTAATTAGAAATAAACTTACGTAATATAGTGGCTTTCTCGTCTTGTTGCCTGACGTTCACAACAATGGCGCGTCCATGTTCTAGCGCTAGTTGAGCATTAACTTCTTCGACTTTTGGTTCAGATGGTAAGTCTTTTAACAGAGGATCTTTCATTAATTTAGTCAATTCTTGACGGAACAGCTCCATGAGCTCTGGATGGGACATCACTTCTGACTCTTCTTCATCCGCCATCTTGAAAAATCTGTACCTTTATTGTATCCCTGTGTCAAGGTGCGGCTAGTGTTGGGTTTCCTGAGTTGTGAGAGCAACGCCTGTCATTAATTCACTTGCGTCTCCAACGTAAAGCACCTGTGTAAAGTTGAGGGCATTTTGCGTGTTTCAACACCGTATTTTTAAAAATGCTGCTTTTTTTGGTATTGTGTGGTAGTGCTTTCTTAGTTAATAACTCGGAAGGAAAAAGAAAAAACGACTTGGAGATCGTTGTGGAGGTAGGTTTGTATGGAGATGTGGCGTCCTAAAGTCATCTCAAATCGCTTTAATCTTGCATGAATTATTAATACTTTAGCCCGTTAGCGCTTAAAATCCACTTCTAAAGTGTGAACCTAAATCCCTTTAACCACAAAACARCAATAAATGCTTCTTATTCTAGGTGCATTTATGATATAGAACTGTTTTCAGTCTATCTTTCACGTAAACMTTCCGACTGAAATGCTTTCAAGGTGCTAAATTGTTTTGGTTTTATTTGTTTTGCATGAATAGCTTTCTAAATTCTTGTGTTTTATCAGCATAAACCTGAAAACTGTAACAGAAAGGCAAGGATTGGAGATACTGTAGCGGTTCACTACACGGTAAGTATGAATTAYCATCAGTTATTTCATTGGACAAGACGCCCAAGTTACGACAATAAACAGCTGCTATGCTCTAATGAATCAACTTTGAAAATTCTTATCTCTTATTGAATTGTCTGTAATTTTAAAACGTGTCAGTATAGCTAGAATGTGTGGAATACATCTTCTAACTATCTCTGTGAGACATCATAAAGTTATACTATTTTGATATTTTTTAATAGGGAGCATTAGAAAATGGAAGAGTATTTGATTCATCTCTTGTCCAAGGAAGRGAACCAATCCAGTTTGAATTAGGAAAAAACAGAGTCATTAAAGGTGTGTAAGCACAGGAATCCCATACAATGATGATCTGAAAGTACTGGAGTGTTACTTGAAGTGTTCATTGCTTTCTTTCTGGTCTTTTAAAATGCTGTATTTCAAACAATCCCATGCACCACCTTATAATGTGTATGGGCCTCCTGTGGTGTGAGCAAAATAGACAGGAACCAGAGAGGGTGGGGTAGGGAGAGGAAGGAGGGGCTGTCAGTCTTGGACTGCTGAAATTTCATTGGCTGTCACTACTGGTCTTAATGAAATACCTTTTGCCATTATCAAAATAATGATATACAAGTGCAGATTTACAATCAGCCAGCCAGTCAGTCACTAAGTCAGTCTGCACTACTGGTCTTAATGAAATACCTTTTGCCATTATCAAAATAATGATATACAAGTGCAGATTTAATCTTAATTTATCTGGTTTCAGGATGGGAAGAAGGCATCAAAGGGATGTGTGTTGGGTAATATTATTATAAATAATGCTGATTTACTATTTTTGTCATCATTATCATAACTACTACAGTATATTAACTACAAAGTAATGTCAACTTCTATACTTTTTTCTTGCATTCATTTTCTGTTCATTATTTACTCTCTAATTTCATTTTCCATCGTCTCAGAGAAAAACGGAAGCTGATTATACCACCTCACTTGGGATATGGAAAACAAGGAGTGAGCAATGTTATACCACGTAAGAATACTTTGTCTTCAACTGTTGCAGCATTGACACCTTGGTATAGAAACCTCAAAATCCATCTCATTCAAAAACTGAAATTTGACAAACAGCTTCAAATAAATTATAGCAGTGAATCCAGTAACTTAAAAAGTATTTGTGTATTGCAGTCACATAGCACCCTATACAGTTGTATTGACAGTTGTATTGGCAGCAGTATTGACAAAAAGTTCACTATAACTGTTTTTTTCTTATTGTTTTACAGCGGAGTCTTACCTTATTTTTACCACTGAACTAATGGATATCAAGACTAAGCCATTCCTGGATTTAAGATCATTATTTCAAGTCATTACATGGCCTGCAATAGGTTTAGTATTAGCATACTATTTATACCAAAGGTTCAAAGAACAGAGCAAAAATCAAGATAAAAAATCCAAAGATAGAAAAGACCATAAGAAGGGCAAAAGAAAATAAGTAGAACCTGTCACATCAAGTTGCAATGACATTAGGATTTTTTTATGCAAACAGCTAATAGGTGTACTCTGACATTAACTTACAACTCAAAAACGTTTTTACTTGCAACAAAATTATTTGATTGATGGTGAGAGATTTCTCATTGTTGAAAATTACTTAGTTTTAAAGGAAGACATTACGTACCTCCAGTTAGATTTTGAGTTATTGTTGTAGTTTATGTATTGCTATAAAGTTCTTACACTATGACCATGAAATAAAATCTAAATAGTTACTAACAAATAGTTTAGTGACTATCATTCAACTGGAACAGTCTTAGTAACAATACATTCTGTACACTTGAGAATCAAATACAAAGGAAACAATACCTCATTATAACTGTTCCAGTTGAGTGAAACTAATAGTCACTATAAATAAGAACTATTAGATAGTAACTATTTAAAATTTAGAGTCATTTTCATCCGTCTGTGAAATWGGAATTGTACTCCCAATAGTTTAAATTATGGCATGCGACAAACTAATTAGGAAAACACGGTTTTGATTTTGCCTTTTGGTAGCCTACTACACCCTAATAGTTACTATTAAACACTGACTAGTAGTAATTGTTTCTCAGACGGATGAATATGACTCTGTTTCATGGACATAGTCTAAACACTCTTGTAATTATGTTTCTATTTGTGTTTATTTATGGCCTGAAAGGTGTGTATATGTTGACCTTTTTTAACCAAAATACTTTTGTATGGTTCAACTTTGCACTTAGAATTGTATTGATTGGTCAAGTTGTTTTATGCAATAAAATATACTGACTTGTTTGTTAATGAATTGTCTTTAATATTCAAATTTTAGTAATTTATAATTACAGCATAACATATCTTACTGTGGCACCCAAGCAAAATCTCATCAGAAAGTGAAATTTGTTTTGAAAAAATGAAAATGAAATAACAACACTTATGTTACAAAAACTGCTAATTCAAAAAAGAATCCAATGTACTCGCATGAAGATTGATGTTTCTTAGGAGTTAGGAGAAAATGAGCAGAGGTTAAACAAGGAATCAAAATTGCTTAGGCAACACAGTGGCAATTAAGGAGGTTACACTGTCATTATTTGCTTGTGCATTTACTTCATAACAAGCAACTTAAAGTATGCAACTTATAAAACTACATGACTGTGTAGGTATATTTCATATTAAAGTATGGATTTCTAGGCAAAAATAAATCATGTTTATGATAGCTAAAAAAACACTAGTAGAACATCCAGACATTTAAGTTCAAGGGACATCTTGAACTTGGTTTATAGTTGAAAATATAATATTTATCTAGTCGATAAAACTAATTTTATTAACAAGATGTAAATCCATACTATACAATGTAGACAACTATGTTAATATATACAAAATTTTGTATGAATGATATAAAATTATTTCTGCTTGTATAAGATAAATACATTATCTAATGAATTATGTACATTATTTTAGATTATAACAAGATCATGCATCCTAAGGGACTCGGGGATAATGTTATGTAATTCCTTCCATACTACCAGAAATAACACCCCTGAGTCCACTGGAACATACAGTATGCAACATACAGTATGCAACATACAGTCAAAATTCATCTCTTTTCTGATTGGTTGACATGCTATGGGTCCACCAATGAATATCAAAATATTTATGGTATACAATGGGTTAAATGACTGGTAGAAAGGCTTCCTGGAATCAACAAAACACTTATCAAGGAATTAAATTGCCTGTCCAGGAAAGAGATGAATCAAGATCTAACAGATTCCCTTCCCATGGGTGTTTTATCTGTTAGCAAGGAATAAGCAACAGAGAATTACCCAGTTTCATAAGCCAGGATGAAAATCCAACAGATTGAGCACCACATTTTAGTTAAGAATTAATGTTAATTGTTGCTAAACTATAGACCAGCTATAAAATATATTGCAACTGCATAATTCTTTGTTTTCACCATACGTCACAGCGGCCATCTTGGAGGTACTTCAACAAAGGATTTCTCATTAGTATCTATTGTTCATTCCTCCAACATGGCCACCGGTCTTTTATCTTTTGAATCTCATGAGAATGATTGAAAACAATCAATACAAAGAGGTTAAGGAGATGTGATCGCATCCCTTCAGGAACAGCTGCGAAGTAATTGTGTATATATTGCAGCTAGCAATAGACAACAGTATGAAATATGTTGATAAAAAAGTATTAGCAGTCCACTCTCTGGCCACAATTCTTAACTTTTCCATTGGGGTCCCTGTATCACCCTCCTGCAACACAGGAAGCCCAACAGAAACTAAAATTCAAAAATAAATTATGGTACTTCTCTTGCTGCTAACTTGACAAGGCACCATTATCTAGTTGGAAGTGTAGTTTAGTATCTCCAGTAGAGTAAAATGTACTTCTTGATAATGGTGCTGATGTTGGTCTCGATGTAGCAGCTTGTTGATAATGTTGCTTTGTTCTTACTTTTCTTTTTGTTAACATTGCAGCCTTAAAAATGAAAGATGTTGATTAATTGTTATGTCACCCAGCATCCCAGTTACACAGGAATCCCACCTGTAAGAGTGATGGTCGTATGATAATCTGTCCTGCTGTCTGCATCCAAGGCTCTCCGTCAATATGAACAGGTAAATCACTCTTTAGTTTTATATTAATCTAAATATCAATGTCAAACATTTTATTAATGACCTGTTTCTATTTGACAAGTTCCTATTTTATGCTTCATACCTGACAACCTTGTGCAATCTTGATCCCTGATCTTATTCCACTTTGAATTTGACCCTTAAAAAAGAGAAAAGCTCTATAGGAAAGAGGTTTTGTGCTCCAATGCTAGCAAAATATCAAATAGACAACTTTTCATATGAATTTCTTCGTTAATTTCCGTGAATCTATTTAATTTCATAATTAGCAAACAGACTTGCATTCACTTTAGAAATATTAGAGAAAGGCAATGACAATGTGTGGCTGACATACCATCTGCATGATYCCTGTTAGTCCCACTACCTCTACTAGTCCATCACTGTGTGAACATGGTTGGAATTGCTGAAAAATATACATGTGTATTTACAAAGTATGCTCTATCTAATCAATCACTCATTTAAGCAATGAATTAATCATTAAATCAACTAATCCATCCATCAATCAATCAATGAATCAATCAGCCAATCAATCAATCAACCAATAAACCAATCAATCAATCATTGAATCAATCAATCATTGAATCAATCAATCATTGAATCAATCAATCATTGAATCAATCAATCAATCAGAATGAAATAAAATGTTATCCTTACTGTGTCATCTTTATCAGGGCCCCACAAATCAGCACCAGCTGCCCAGCTGATAATAAAAAAATAAATAAACAATTATTACACAACAGTTTTACAAGTGTTGACAGAGAACAATATGAACAATACCTGCTGATATTTAATATCACTAGGCCTTCCAGTGAAGGTAAATTAATCTTTTCACCATCAACCTTAAAGAAATGTCAATCAATCAATCAGTCAGTCAGTTGATAAATCAATCAATTGATCAGTCGTGATTAGTCTCCTCACACCTAAGTTTAGTTAAGGTCACATGTGACACAGTTGCAAGACACGTGACTGAAACTAAACACAGCTGCGAGGAGACTAGCCAGTCATTTCATCAATCAATCAATTAGTCAGTCTGTCATTCTATCAATCAATCAGTCATTCAATCAATCATAAAGCAAAAACAACAACAATCTTCCATCTAGTATGCATACCTCTATATCTATTTCAGTGGAAATATCATGAGAAGATCTTTTTGCCATCTTCCTGAGACCTGCTCTGAAGTACACCCCTTTGTTATGAAGCCTGACAAACAAAAATAGAAAATAAAAAAACAGAAAGAATAACAGACATGTACAACAATAAAACTGTGAGTATTTTTTCCATTGTTTCCATTCTAACACCTCCCATTCATTTTTTCCACAGGGAGGGAGGGGTGGGAAGGGTTTTGTACTGACCTGCTTGTAAACTTTTCAGGTGATTCCTCTCTTTTTAAGTGGAAGTCCAGACTGAGRTCAGCATCAATACCGATACCAAAATAATTATTCATTATAAACATATTAGGTTCATCTTCTTCTTCTTTGTCATCAAKTGAAGGAGAGTCAAACATAACAAGCCAGCGATCAAGGTTACCAACRGTTGCAGAATCRACAGCCATTAATAATGAYAAGGGYGTGTCCCCTGATGAGTARCCACCGCCCCAGTTTAATACCCTCGAAAGGTCATTTCCTAAGAATCATAGTTTCAAAACATTAATGTTTGATAGAGAATGGTTTGTGTGTTTTATATTATTATGCAATGTCACATGGCATGGACAAGTCGAGAATATGTCAGTGTTCACAAAACCCTGGTTGTGATGCTATGAGAAGACTGGATCGAGAAAAGATCACAGTTACAGTGTAAATCACAGAACAAAGGTGTTGTAGCTTTAGACATGCTTTTCTTTTGCTTATTATATCTTTGAGAATACTAATTTCATTTGAAAAGCTGCATGGTGTCCTTCATGGTTCTTTTTTTTGCCAATTCTAGTATTTCGTGCTATTCAATGTAAACTAACCTGTTCCAAGTGGTACAATAGCTGAAGGTGGCTTTTTACACTTAATTAATAAACTAAGRTCATCTAGACATGATAGAACCCATCCCACTGTGCCGTCTCCACCACAGATAAGAATTCGAAACTTCTCAAGGTCTTTAAATGTGTAGAGACTAAAAAATAAATTAAGAAGAAATAATACCATTCAAATATACTGGAAATAAAGAAACTAGTATTGTGAGCAACAAGTGATTGGAATAGGCTGTTTGCATTATGACCTAACTTTACTACAACTACCAGAGAGCCTTGCACATTTTCATTGTTATTCAGATTTTTAATCCCCTCGGAGATTTGGCAATTGGTACTAATTGCATTACAAAAGAAAGTTGGCAAAACATTCTGGTAGTTGTAGTAAATGAYGCCATAATGAATATCGCCTATTGGAATTAGCTGCATACTCAGGGGCGGGTCTAGGGGGAGGGTTGAGGGGGTTGCTTAATCAGTCAAAACAACAGTCAGAAAATATAAATGACATWACTGATTGTTAAAATCCTGCTAATAAACGGCCCTAATTACTAACCCTGGTAATGGTCCACCGTCCAACAGATTGAAAACTTGGTGAGGGTTGAATAAACGTTGAAATGCAGACATGATGTCATCTCCTTGGCCTCCACCACTCTTAGGATTGACAAACACTAGCAATGGCTGACTGTCATTGGGAATTATTTCTGACTGAATAATAATAATAACAATATCAAATGTATAAAGACTAATTTCATTATGATGATAAAAACAATGAGAGGATTCTTATTAAATGCTTTTAAAATGAAGAAATAAAAAGGGCTTACATGTAAAGTCGGYAGTAGTTTGACAAACACGTCTTTACCGCTGACTGGTTTCTSTTTCAAGGTCTCYATAATGTGTTCAGCAAGATCCACAGGAGCAAGTGTAGCAAATAGCATACCTTAAAAATRTTATTAAATAAATCTAACAGTTAGCTGGACACATTGTCCAATTTAATATGCATATAATAGAATACTGTCTTATGTGAGGGCTTACCTGAGCTAGAGTGAATATATTCAACATTTAGACACCCTGCAAAAACRAATTTCCATATTTCAAAACTCAAAACACCGATCAAAATAATTGATATTAAAACTACTTTCTGATGGATTAGAAATACMACTGACAATCAATATTAATTGTGTACAATTAATATTGATTGTATAGTCTCATTATATCATCTTTGCTTGTCAGGATCCCTGTAGGCAAGAAGCACAGGGATCCTAATATGCAAAGAAGGAATATTTGGATATTYGTGTGCTCATGAAGTCAGCAAAAATGACAAAAAACTAGGTTAGTAAACCATCACAATCCCTCCCAACCCAGACAAACCACAATTTGTACCTTGTTGCAATGTTTCATCCAGTAATGTCTGGTATTGCTGCTTGTCCAGACATGTTGGTAAATTACCAATACATAAACAACATTCRCTTGTRGGATCTGGCTTGCGACGAAGGTAGAAACGGATGAACTTGAACAGCTCAAGGGATTTCTACGGGAAAACAAAAAGATATCAGATAAATGATTGAGTGATAAATACATGAATTGGTATTCATCATTCAAGGTTGGACGGATGGATTAATAGATGAAAGAATGAATGGCTGAATAATGGAAGAAAGAATAAGTGAATGGAAAAATTAAAAAATGAATGCATAAACAAATAAATGAATGCTTGCTTGATGGTATGAATAGTGGAAGGACTGAGGGAAGGGAAGGGGGGAGKGGTTCAGATACCTTCTTTATATCAGTTAAACATTTCCAGGGACTTTCATGATYTTGCATACATCTTTCTTGTACTGATTTCAAAAAGATATAAGAAGATATCCAATKTTAATCATCCAAAAAGCACAGATTAATAACACCAAAAATAATATTGCATATAATTGACTTACATCCAGCAAATAGATTCGTTTCAGTCAAAACATAGTCATCTATAACACCATCCTATGAACAAAGGTGATTACGGATTGAAAGAGAATATTATTATAATCTATTGTTAAATACTGCTTAACCCTCATGATGGTTATACACTATTCAAGAACAGATTGTCCTGTAGTACTAGTAACTGGTTTTCAAATTAAAATAAACAAAATATTACAATTATAATAACTTGCACTTCTTTTCTTAGTTTTTCAGCTTTACAAATTAAAATTATACTAAGTATAGCTGTATTCATCAGTATCACATTCAAATCTTTCTTGAAAGTAGTATGTACCGTGTATCACAAACCTGTATATCAAACTTCTGTAAAGCCATATTGATGACATCACCGACAGTAGTACTAGCTCTAACTAACACAGTTTTAAATGCTACTGATGCACTGTTAATAAAATAAAACRGTATTAATTTACTGACAGTATTAATTTAGTGACTGAAGATCTCTCTAAAGATAGCTAAAATCAACTCACTTCAGCTCCMTGCCAGCATATATTCTGATGTATCCTTTTCCTCTATCAATTCTCTACAAAGGAAGAGAGTTTGGAGTGAATTATTCCCTCTATTTATTCATTCATTTTATCACTGTTTCTCTAATTCATCTTGCTATAAAATGCTTAACAAGTCATAATGTAGACCTCACCTTATTTCTAAGAAAAAACAATGGCCTCTCTTCACTTTCTGGGAATTGGACAGGCATTTCTTCTGAATCTAATKGCCGCTCTTTTTCTGTTAAGAGATCCATTTCAGTCTATTACATGTAGTGCAAAGCTTATMACTTTTAGATAACACACTTTTTAAATCTTAATAACTAATTTATATAAGAAGCAAGGAGTATCATACCTTGATCTACAGCTTTCGCCAAGTAGTAGTTATCAGGTATATCRTTGATGCAAAACTTTTTCAATGATTCACTCTGTAGAGAGATAACAATCAGATTTCTGTTATTGTTTCAATCAATAGAGAGTTTATGATGTTCATGGCAAATGGCAAACGGCAGAAWAGATCACATGACCTGCTTTTTGGGGGTTTACCATTATAGTTTCAACACGAGAGTGGATTATTTTGGGGTTGTTATAATTGTGAAAAGTCCCTCTTTCAAATGACTACCAAAAGCACAAGGTCAGCATGAAATTTGTAGGTCATTGGTTCAGCTCTGTCATTAGCCGTTTGCTGTAAACGTGATGCTTATACTCTCTAATGACTCAAAGAGTTCAGTTGGCAATCGGTCAGTTTGTCAATCAGTTCACCTATCTMTCTYTCTGTCWGTCTGTCCATCATTCAGTCATTGAAATAATGAGTCAAACCAGCATGAAGCATACCAAAATATCCTTAACATGAGCTGTTCTTGGTACAATAACACTTTTCCTTGTCTGGGGTTCATTAAGGTTTCCATCATAGACATTGACACGGGTGAATTCTAGAAAAAATGAGTTTGTTACTAAATGGGTGGAGGAGAGATTGAATGAACAAAAGACATAATGAAATATGGAATTGTTAGAAGACAGAGGATGGATGGATAGAATGATGAAATATGTAAATGAATGAAAAAAATAAGCAAGTACCTTTTTCTGAACGTTCTGACATGCTTGTTGAATTTTCTCTTCCATCGGTGATCAACTCATTACYTTTATTATCTTGTAATAGCAAAAAACATAATAATAAGAGTTAGATTATTCACTTGACTGCATGCTTTACMATGATATACCTACCTTTACTTACACTATCCAGACCTTTTCTCCAGGAACACCATAGTTTAATATCAGCTATTTCAACACAGGCAGGAGGTAAGGTTAGCCTCTTGATGTAACCAAATTGACATTCCTTGGGAAGAAGTTCTTTACAGCTGCTGTGTGCCTGTWAATGTTTATTACTAGTTATTACAAAGTTGAAAGAAATATGATAAAATGAGTCTCCCCTTAAGCACATTATCAACATATCAACAGCAGCAACAACTTTTACAACCTGTGACAACTTACAGTTGAGGCACACCAGCTACATCGATAACTAGCAAAGCATTCCATTGTACCACAAGTTCTTTTACAGTGAACACATTTCGCACTGGCTGGCAGATTACCCTCTCGCCAGTGATGACTGTGTTTAACTGATAACTGTAAAATATGAATAAGAGGATGCAGTATAAATAAGATGAATGAAAAGTAGAAACAAGATGAAAGAGAGATAAATGAATGGGAAAAAATGAATTATAAATGCATAGATGAAAAAAGGCAAATGGACCAGTCAATGCACGGATGGATGATCAGATGAAAATAGAGATAGATAAACATGAATAAAGGCAAAATCAATGATAATGCAGATAAGGAAGGATACTTACTAACATTTTTTAATTAGATACTTACTTTATCTAAATGTGGAATGTAAGTAGAGGACTGTTTACAGTCATCAATACTGAAATCTTTACACATCTCATGAATAAAATATTCACAAACTAAAACAACAAAACAATATATTTTTCAGTAAGAAATCATTTTGTGCAAAGATATCATGTAATCTAAGATACCATGATGCTATCTAGTTGGAATTCTATTGTATCATGAACCTTGGAATCAACCATTGTTTTATCTAGTAGTATACCTTGACATCTTATTGCTGGGTTGTCTTCTAGTCTTTTTCTACAAACACTACAGTATTTCTTTCTATAAAATGATACTCCTCCCCAGGTRTGCTCGACAGGACTCTAGGTGAAGTAAAAAACATTATTGACTATTGCTCTTCATAACGCATTAGTAGTCGGATTCTCGATTGTGAAAAATCCAAGCTCGGTGAAGACTTTGTGAACTACATGCATTTTGAGAATATCAGCTCACAAATCTAGCTTATGCAAAACCAATCCCCGCACCTCTCCCATAGGAAAAAATCTCCACWGRAGKTKGAMAGGTGTGGAGAGACTTAATYRTTCGTACTTACAGTGATAAGACTGGTTGCTATGGAAATGCATGGAGTAACAACAGTGGAAAGACATCTATCATGGGATGTAAAATTGCAAACTGGAAATAAAATGAAATTTAATAAAATAAAGATAACATAACAAATAAAACAAAATATGTTTGCATTGTTGGAARAATAATAATCAAAATCATCACTGTAGTTTCCTCCACATAGTCTAGACGCTCTCACCGAAAATGAGCTATCAGGATATGGAGAAACAAGGCAACAAGGCCTAAACTTATCTTTTTGTCTCTTCTCAATCAACTCCTATATCCTCTCATGTTTATGAAATGAATTTTTAAACGATAAAGTATGCTGTCTTTGTTTTGAGTGGAATTTATCACGAACCTGACAGTTCTATATTTAGCATTATTTATTTGACTTCATATAGTTTCGAAACAATAATTTTTTAATTGATTCGACAAGTCGTTCTGACCTAGCAACCACAAGACAACAATTAAAAACGGAAAACTGCGTGWTTTCCTTGTTAGAATTCATTCACAGTGTCTTAATTGCTTTGTGAGAAATAAAAATAACAATATGACCTAAATTATCGAGAAACCATATTAGGCTTATTTCAGGCGAAATTCATATTTAACGTAATATGAATATTCATTATTCCTAGTTCAAAACAACAGCTGGTTAAGGTTGACCTCAAAAGAACAAAACTTTCACTTTCAAAACAGACTATTTTAGAAAGTTATTTTAGACAGATGAGTATTAAGCTTTAGATAAAGTTCACCAAGTAAGCTAATAAGCTACTGCTGGACATGCGAGGGGTACAGCGTACAGACTGCAACTTGTACTCCCATTGAGCTCAAATCAAAATGACAGGYCTGAAACTAACCTTCACAAATGAAGCCTTGATTCGTAAAGCCCCAAAGTAATTCTGTACAGTGATGACAGTAGGTAGGTCTAGTGAARGTCTTCTTTGCAAAACGATGCCCACTTTGTCCATGAGCTTGGAACGCCGCTTCGACTTTTGGAGCCGATAATCGCCTGCCTTCTGAGTTCACTTTGTGAGGTCGCAAGTACATTATACTATAGAATAAACTTGGTTCTAAACTTTTAACATAATTATAATTTGCTGTCTTTGAGGAAGTTTGTAGAGCATGAAGTACGCACAAAGTAAAAGTTGGTGGAGAGCGGAACTTGAACGGCTTGCCAGTTGTCGGACGATGACCGGAAGGGATCGGCAAACGCTCGGGCTGAACGGACGGCGTCTTCACGCAAATTTACGTGCGCAACCGGCCGGAGGTACGTGCGCATATGACGTGATTTCGCGTAAACATTTCGAAAAACAAACAAACAAAGAAATAATTAAAATTTTGAACACTGTTTTTTGAAAACTACACGATCATACCTGAACTCTGTACATAGCAGATAGACTTCAAAATCTGGGTTTGTCGAGTTTGTCAAAATATAAGTTTTTGGATAATTCGAACCCGTTCCTAGATTCGAACACAGCGGCTTGACATCATATTTTATTCAAAACACAAGTTTCTTTACATAGTTGCCTATTGGTGATTACATTTTATTGAAAWTTTTTTATAGTTAATGCAAAGTTACGAAAATTTAGGACTATAGTTTTTATATTTATTTTTTATTGAAATAATGATCATTATTTTTATTTTAGGAATATAGTTAGGACCAAACTCTATCAGTATTTAATAATCTTTATTCTTTAGCAAAAAATAAAGAGAATTCTCACATGGATTACGTCACTCCTTTCCACGATGGGCTGCCTGTGTAGAGGTRTTTGAATTATTCAATATGGCGGAAGAGCTATTCAGGTTCTGTAGCATTTCTTCCATTTTCGTGTTAAATTTATAAAAGATAAAACCAATAACAATGCATGTTTTAGGATATTAACCAAAGGAAGATTTTTAGAGTTTAAATTCAATGGATATAAGCCTGATTGAAGACGTGTATCGAAATGCAAGAGATGGAGGCTCGTCTAACCTTAAAATATTGCTTAGTAGTTTCAAATCCCGCAGAAAGGACAAGCTTGTGGATCTTTTGGAGCATAAAACTAAGGACGTTGACCAGTTAACAACTCCATTAATAATTGCATCAAGAAATGGTAATCTTAAATGCGTAAAAATCCTTCTGTCYTACAATGCCGACATCGAAGCAAAAGGGACAGTTAAAGTGGATGACCAAATCATTGAAGAGACGTCTGCTCTCTGGGCTGCGGCTGCTAAAGGCGAAATGGATGTTGTAAAGTGTTTGGTAAAGGCTGGGGCTAATGTTAACTCCAAGACAAAAACCAACTCTACGCCTCTAAGAGCAACAGCTTACGATGGTCGAATCGATATTGTTAGCTATTTGGTTGAACACGGGGCAGAAGTCAATGTGAAAAACAATTTTGATAACACTCCATTGATGGTTGCATGTTACAACGGTCACAGGACAGTTGTTAGTTATCTTATTGAGAAGGGAGCAGGTTTAAATGTTCAAGACAGGCAAGGGAATACTGTGTTGCATTATGCAGTAGAGAGAGGGCATGTTGATATAGTTAAAGATCTAGTTTCAAAGCAGGTTCTTCAACTACCAAATAAACTAGGGCTTACTCCATTACTTCTTGCTAGTAATGAATGCAAGATAGAAATGGTAGAGTACTTGATTACTAGGGCAGAGTACAGTGAAGTTGAAATTATAGATAGCCTAGAGTTACTCGGTGCCACACTTGCTAATGAGCCAGATGCGTATAATCTAGAGAAGGCATTTCATTACATGATGGAAGGGGTAAAGAGACGTTATRATGGAACCAAGTGCATCTTTAAAAAAGAAGTTCTCCCCCCAATGAAAGCCTATCAAGAAAAAGTTGAATGCCAAACTATGGAAGAACTTTCAAGCATTCAAAATGACCCACATGCTATTCACATGGAGGGACTTATCATGAGAGAAAGGATCTTGAAACCCACTAATACAGAGCTGCGATTTCCTATCAGATATAGAGGTGCTGTTTTTGCTGACTCAGCCAACTTTGAATTGTGCATTTCCCTRTGGAAGCATGCGATGGACATYGGTCAGCAAAATGACATCATAATAGTTGATGATCTGAAGATTTTTGGTGATTTCTTCTGTCAYATGATTCAGCGTAAAGTACTGCCATGCTTTGATGATGTTCTAGATGTGTTTGAATATTCAGTATTGGAGTATGAAAAAATAAGGAAAAAGATCCARGCAGCAGAGGAAAAGAAAAATCAGTCATTGAATACTGACTTAGAGAGTATCCTACACAGATCCCTCTACTTGCTTACGATTTTTAACAAGTTAAAATACTCAGAAAACGAGGATAGGTTACTGCAAAAACTTCTGTACAAGTATCTCTGTCTTGACCCCAGAACAAAAACAGGAAAGACGCTGTTACACCTTGCTGTTTCCAGTAAAACACCAACTGATGAGCATTACACAAGAGATATCTGCCACTACCCGTGTCTTGTAACAACAAGGTTATTGTTACACACTGGTGCTCAAGTAAATAC